TCTTCACTTAATCATCAATTAATGGGCTACATTGATTTATTTCAAATTTTTTCAAAGAAAACACATTGTTTATTAAAAAACTTATTTCTTCTTTATTGAATTTATTTTTTCAAATTTCCCCTATTATACAAGAATGTTTTTGGCAACTTTTTTGGAATATTCTTTTGTATATAACTTTTTTACTAATATTATGATTTTTTTTCATTAAAAAAAAAGTTAAGACTTTTTTTTTCCAAGTCCATTTATTGTGATTGATTTCAAAAACAAAGCTACTTTTAAGGGACTTTAAATTTGGTTCTTCAAAATAACCATATTTAACCACCACTTTGCTGTCCCCAAAAAAAAAGCTATTACCGATTCTTACTTGTTTGCAAAAAACAGGGTTTAGTGTTATAAAGAAAAACGTCTTAGTATTCAAAGAAAAACCCAAGGGAAAAAAAAAATTTGGTTTGCGGCTGTGGGGAAAGGCAAAAAGCAGGGGAAGTTCCAGAGGTGGGCTGTTTGGCTCTGGCAGGGTTTTCCTTGCCGGAAAACTGGGGGCCTGGCCCCCTTTGGAGGGGCCGGCCTTCAAAAAACCCAAAACCCGGCCACTGGCCCCAAAAATTTCTGCTTTTTACCTTTTTTTTGGCAACCTTTGGGGCTGCCAAAAAAAAAAAAAAAAGCAAAAAAGGGGGCTTTCATTTTTTTTTTGCCTGGGTTGGCATTTTTAAGGGGAGTTTTCTTTTATTTCCCCTTTCTTTTCAAAACCAGGTGGAAAAAACCCTGAAAAAAAAGGGCACTGCTTGCCTCCCACACCCAAAAAAAAAAAGTGTTGGAAAATTTAATCGGGGTTGAAACCAACACATTTCCTAATTAAAGGTTAACCTCAACTTTTTGCTTGAAAAAACCTTTCCAACCAGGCACGGCTTTTGTCCCTCCCATTAGTTCCTTCCTTGCCCAAAAAGCTTTTTGGGCTCTGGCTTTTGGCAGTTTTTTTCTCAGTAAGTGTGGGTCTCTGGGTTTTGAACCCTCGCCCCAAAAAAAAGTGAACCCCTTTTTCCCTTGGTGTTCTTGCCAAGCTTTCTCCTTTGGGTGGGGGCTATCTTGCTCGGTGTAATTTTTTCATGAAAAAAAAAAACAAAACCAAAAAACAAAGAATTTAAACTTTCCTGGTGTTATGGGATTTATTTAAAAAAACTTCCATCTGTTTTTTGAGGAATTTGCTGCTGTATAAAAAGGCCTTTCAAAATTTTTTTACTTGTTTGGGACTTCCAACCCTCCCTCCTGGCTGTTTTCATTTTTTTGGCCCCTTCAATTTTTGCCCCCTTTTTTTCTTTGTTTCAACTTGCAAATTCTTTTTTTGGAAAAAAAGGTTTTTCAACCAACCAAGGCTAGAAAAAAAAAAAAACAAACATTCTGGAGTTATGTTGCCATCTTTCTTGGACTTGGGACATTCTGAAAATTTTACTTTAGGCTCCTTCTTCTGAGGCTCTTGTGTTCAAGCAAGTTCATGGGGGCTCTTTAGGCTCCATTTTCCCTTTCCTTTCCTCACTTGCTTTTTTCCTGTGGTTCTTTCCCACTTGGGGTTTTCCACCCCTTTTTTTTTAACCAGTGATGGAAAAGGCCCCCCAACTGGTTCTTAATAACCATTTTCTTGAATGCCACAAAAGTAAGGGGGGTTTGCCTTTAAGGGCTGGAAAATTTCCTTGAAAGTTACGTGGGTCTACTTTTTCATTTTTTTCAATTTTTTAAACCATTTTGCCCCAATTCAACTTCAAAAACTTTGGGCTTAGTTAAATTACACAATTTTTTTAAAAGGCAAAAAAGCCTTGCAAAAAAAAACAGGCAAAATTTTTGTTTGAAAAATTTTGAAAAAAAAAACAAAAAGGAACTTTTCTGGGAAAAAATTGGGTTTTTTTACTCTTTATTTTCCTTATTAAAAAAAAAAAAAAAAAAAAAAAAAGTGTTTATTATTTTCCTCTTTTTTAATTCGCATTTTTTTTTTCATTTAATTTTGGGATAAATTTGAAAAAAATCTTAAAGAAATATTAATTTTCCCAAATTCTTTTTATTTTCTTGTTTAGTTCCTCGCTTTAAAAAAAACAAAATTTTTTCCTTGGCAGAAATAAGGCTTTTTTCTTTTCTAAGGTCATACTTTAAAAAGGAAAAAAAAACAAAAAAAAAAAAAAACCCACAACATAAAAAAAAACAATCTTTGAATCTTTGTGTTAAAAAAAAAAAAAAAAAAAAAAAAAAAAAGGAAAAAAAAGAGGAATTTTTCCAATTATAGACACAATTTCTGTTAAGGAATTTTGACAAAAAAAAATTGGAAACAAACAAGTTTTTTGCCAAATTTAAATTTAGAAATTTTTTTTTTTAAAACCATTTGCCTGGAAAAATTTTCCCCTTCCTTTGGTTAAAAAACAAAAAAGGGGTCATTTCAAAAATTCCATTTTTGAATGAAAGAAACAGTCTGGCCTGGACCACTAAAAAAAAAAAAAAAAAAACAATTTTTCCAAAGTTTTTTCAAAGCAAAAAAAAAAAAAAAAAAAAAAAAAACCACTTCCTTTTTGTCTTTCTGTCTGTATTTTTTATTTGAAGAGAAAAAAAAATTTTTAAAAAAAAAAAATCCAACTTCAAAATCCGTCAACAAGAGGTCTGGGGGATGGGAATGGTGAGGAGGAGGGAAACATGAATATGCAAATAGGATGCCTTAGGCAGGAAAAACACTTCACAATTGTGGAAATTACTATTTTCCCTTGGTTATTCCCACCAGTGTGATTATAAGGAATTTAACTTTATGTTTCTGTTGGTATTCTATTCCACGGGCTAGGGACAGAGACCGCTACCATAAATAATTCAAGAGCATAGGGCCATATGGAGAAGATGTGAATATATTTCATTTCCCTAAGGATAGATATAATCTTATACTGGGGACTGAGCTGGTGGGTGTCATTTTACTCCCTGGAACATTAATTTCCATTTCTCCACGTAACTGGTGTTTATAAGAAAGCTTTTTTACCCAAAAGAGAATTCAGGAATTTCAAAGGCTCTTTTGGAATACACTGCAAAAAAAAAAAAAAAAAAAAAAAAATTCACCATAAAAACAACCTAAGATTTAGGCATATCTGTTATCTATCTTTCCATTTCCAGCCACATTAAACACCAGGTCAAGCACTTCCATGATCTCTTGCCTAAGACAAATTGTCCTATTTCTGGGGTCTCCCTGCCTACGGTTCAGCCTGGGTGCTGCTTTCAGCCCCCCCTTCCTAAAGGACAACTCTGATCATACTGGCCTTCTGCCCAACAGCTTTCAAAGGACCCCTTCTCCCTTGTCAATTCAGTTCGAGCTCTTCAATCTGAAATTCAAGATCCTTTACAGTTTGCTCTCATCTTCCTTTGCAGATCAATCTCCCACAACTTCCTTACAATACCCCTTCATATTTGCCAAATTGGATGAGTTTTTTTTCCCTGACCACAGGCACTGCTTCTGTCTCCAATAAGTTTCCCCCCCACCCATCCCCCATGGGAGTGTGCTGTTTTGAATTCTTACCTATCAAATCCCACCCAGAATTCAAACAGAGCCTCAAAAAGCTGCCTCCTTCACAATGTCTTCCTGATCCTGCCTCCCGCACCCTTGGGGGGTGAGCTTTCCCTCCTCTCAAGCCCCAAACAGAATTAGATCTCACACCAGGGCAGTCCCTCACTCTATTTTGCACAGTAGCCAGATGAGTTACAGAAGTGTAGCCCAGTAGACTGCAAGCTCCCCACGTGGAGGCAGGACTGGGTGTAGCCTCAGTCTGATTTCCCCACACTATCTTGTACAGGTCTGCACATGTCATGAGTGATCAACAGATATTTCCTGGATATATTGCATTCACATGTACTTGAAAATTGTTTGATATCAAAACTACTTTGGAAGACAAATGAGAAATGAAATGGGAAGCCTGGGAGGCAAGAGGAGCTTAAAAAAGGTTTTGATTCACATTGCCTGCTTCTGCTGGGGGGCTGCCCAAAGGACAGTCTCAGGATACTAACCTGGTGTTTTAAGAGATGCTCCCAGCAAGTTAGCAAAATTTCATTCAACCAACAATTACTGAGTCACGGCTGTTTACCAAAGTCTGTACTAGGCACCAAGGAACAATAAGTGGTTAGAAATGGTCCCTGTTCTTCGGGACCCAGTGAAGGAATCCTAAATAAATTATATCTAATAAACATAATAAAAAAAGTTTTTGAAAGACAATAAGTATGTGTGTGCAGAGGGAAAGTAGTTGACCCTGCATCTGAAAGTTAGGTATGACTTCAGGAAGGAAGGAACATTTGCCTGAGGTCTTGAAGAATGGAACAATTTGGGGGGAGTGAAAGTGGCCATTTTTGGCAGAGCCAGCTCAAGTTTCCAGGCTTGGGGGATGATGTGCATGGGAAAGAAACAGACATTCAGAGTGGCTGGAAAACAAGGTGTACCCAGTGGGGGAGGCTCAGAGGTAAGCTGGGCCAGCCAGTGCAAGGCCTTCTGACCAGCGAGTACGCAAAAGTTCAGACTGTGGCTATTGAGGAACAATGAGCAGAATCCTTGAATGCATGTGATTTGCGATGGTTCCCATCCCTCACGTCATCTCCCCTTATTTTCCCAGCCTACTGGAGCTCACCCAGCCCCACTGCAGCTCAGCTGCAGGATGGAGGGTGTGTGCGCTGCCTGCTTATTAGCTCTGAAGCACAGGGCACAGTGCTTCCATCAGATATTTTGACATTTACTTAAGATATAAATACTTCAAATGCAAAGACATAAATATTCAAGAACAGACCTTTTCAAACATTTGGCCACTCAATTCAATAATATTATACTTTTACACCCCAACCCCGAAAAACAATGCGTTCTCTCAAGGAGATGAGAGGAATGGCACTTTGCACCACTGCAAACTTACTGAGCTGCGATTTTGATGAATTTTTTCACCAGCTGCACCCGCTTGCCCAGCTGGCTGCAGAGCAGAATCTCTGTGGCCACCCAGAGCTGGACCTCGTTGCATCTCTGGAGCAGAAGGCTGAGGTTTGCCGTGTGCTCCCCACTTCCCTGTCTGCTGAATGTGAAGTAGATCAGCTCTTGCTGAAAGAAAATACATTCATGCCAGGGTTTATTCATAGCAAAGTCCAGTTGATAACAAAATTCAGGCCATTTGTAAGAGATACTTCTGGTAGGCACTCCCATATCTTTAATACCACCAACAGAAAATACAGCAAATAATAGTGTATTAAATTCAAAATAATAATTTATATTTAGTTTTAGAGATGCCTCTTTCAATAATGTTCACCTAGAATGCTCCGTATTAAAGCAATTTTTCAGAAATGTAAGGAAAACATCTTTACCTGAAAATCTAAGACATTCTAAAGTTTAAATCACAAGGCCAATGGAATTCCCCAAACTTCCCAAACTTACATTGAAAAATTTAAGCGAAAAGGAACATTAGCATTATTAGTATTTATTAAGGTGCATGTAGACCCTCACAGGTCTGTTCTCTAAGACAGTGGTCCTCAAACTCGAGTGTGAATCAGGACCACCTGGAAAACTGTTAAAGCACAGACTGCTGGGCCCCACCCCTAGAATTTCTGATCCTGTGGGTGTGTGGAAAGGCTGGAAGTGTGCACTTCTAACAAGTTCCCAAGTCGTGCTGATGATGCCGGTCTGGGTACTCGCACTTTGAGAAGCATTGACATGAGGCATTGTCAAACATAAACAGTAAGAAGTGAGATTAGGCAAGATCCAATAATTTACAAAAGCAAATGAGACCAGTAGCTATTATATACATGGATCATGTGCAAAGCATTAGAAATTTATTTTAAGTGTGTGTGTGTTTGTGTGTATTTTACAGAAGTAATCCACATTCTCCCACTGCATAAACAGGGACACATCCCAATCTATTAACATTGCAAAAGACACAAGTTCACTACTTGGTCAAATTCAGATCATAACGCTGAAGTTTCTTTAATGAGAAAATATGAAGACATTTAAAAGAAATCCCCAAATGAAAATAAAGCTTAAGCTTCCCTAAATTGGGCATGAGGTTCTTTTTTCAGAAGGAAAGGCCATTTCAGAATGAAAAATTTCACTACATGGCAAAGCAAATGCAACATATGGTTGCACAGGGCCTCTAACATTTTTCATCTCCTGATTCCTTTGAGCCTTTCCACTGGCCAAATTTACTCATTAACTGTCAGCAGCCTTTTGCTCCTAATCCATTGTTTTATAGATGTCACAAGGTGTCCTCAAGTAAGGAGTTCATGAACACAAAAACTTGAACTATATCCAAAAATTTCAAGAAAGTACTTGAAATCTTATAGCACAGTCCAAATTTATAGAATATTCTTAAGTAAAAAGATGAACATGTGTGTGTATACACATAAATATAAATAGGGTTCTTGTACAACTACTATAAACTCCATGGGGGGAAAAAATCAATTATCAAAGATAAAATGGTCCTTCAACCCCATTAAAGCATCATATATACATACATACATATAAAATATAGCACATTTATACTACATTACATGAGCATATAATTGTGCTAAGAACAATAAAGTATGTTTATATATTCTGATTTTTCTAGGACTGTGTCAGTTTTTCAGTATATTTAAAGTTCCCAAATATCTTTTGGACCATGTTACCCTAGCATAACTATATCACCACACGCATAGATATTTGTCCAAAAACAATTCACAGTTAAAACAGCATTCACATTTTATCTTTTCACTCTTTACTTACCTCATGAATTGAATTGAATAGACTCCAGTCAAAATTCATTAATTCCAGAGCAAGATCCCAAGTGTTCATTCCCAAAATCCTCATCGACCTTTGCTGTGATTCCTCATTTTCTGCCAATGGGTTCTAAACCGACAAACAGAAGCAAAAAGGACCCTCAGTAATTCCCAAATGTTTTGCATTGAATTGGCTGGCCATTGAAAGGCACTAGAAGCCCAGATTAGAAGAGTAATCTTTTCTGAGTGCACTTAATATTTTCCCTGGTCTGTTCACCTTCAGTGAGTTACAGCCAATTTAGGAAACGGTCTTGGAAACAGTAGGATGTGATCAATGATACTTCACTGAGTTGGCCTGCCCCTCCTCCACCCCCATTCTCCACCCTCCCCCGTCCCCCCCAATGCACGCACAAATCTGATTATAAAACACTGCCCCAGCAGACAGCATAATGAAAGTGAAAGCCCTGAAATCACTTTGGCTTCTGGTAAGAATTAATGTGCCAGCAGGGTTAGTATAAAAACAAACAAAAGAAATGTCATGGTGCAACTTCAATAAAGACAGACACGGCTTTTACAGGAAATATGTTTAACAAGTCTCATCCCAGACACACATTTACAAATGTTATTAAAATGTCTGTGGAAAGTGAAAAAATTTAATGTGAAATAAAAAAATAAAAGTTATTTCATTTATATTCCATTTAAGTATCAACTGCTTTCCCTCTATAAATAGGCCCCAACCACTATGAGGCTGGTAATAGTATTTCACTAAAATCTGGCATAAAATTATTAAACGCCACCACAACTTTAAATCTATCGCCATTGTTAACGTCATTCACAAAATTATTTGGCATCTTTCCAAAATATTTGATATTTTCTAATTAAAATATAAATTCTCCCATGTGAAGGGTTGGACTTGAATAGTTAGTGACTTAAAAATAAAAAGAAAGGGACTTTGCAAAATATAAATGACATGATCAGACAGAAGGAATATTCCAGATGCCAGATATCAATCTCTATTTCTAAACTGAGAAATAAGCTACTTGCATTTTAGAAGCTTTGCATTCATGAAAAAGTACCCTAATTTAAAAGAAACTAATGACTGGAGACCTTTGCAGAGCTTTCCCACAGACTTGATTCTCTTTGGAGGTCAAGGTACAAATTGTCTGTGTGTCCCCAGTGTGGGACACAGCGTGGAGCTCAGAAAGCACCAACTGAATGAAGCAGTTTACAAATTCTGAGGTTTTGAGGTGGGGAGGAGGGAAGCCAAGGATCATGAGTTGGTCTGACTAGGCTGGGCCCAAATAGACTCCACTGCAGACTTGCAAAGAAAGAACCAGAGTTGAGAAGTAACACAAAGACCTGCTTCATCATTTAGAGGTGAAAGGATATTTTTACTTGGCTTTTTGTCCCTCGTATATTCTCCCTAAATGGGCCCCTTACCCTGGCACTGCCCTCTGGTTATGCAAGGTTATTCCTCCTCCCACTCCATCACCAAGAAACACTATGTTTCTCCTTCCCATTTCTTCCTGGCTCTAATTCCTGTTCCCTAAGAGGATGAACTCATCTATGTGAAAGCACTAGTGGGTACTGATGGTTTCATGTGTTATTCTTCCCTTATCGTGTTCTATTTCAACTGACATCTTTTGGAGGTGAAATATCTAAACTTGTGATTCCAATGAGGACATTTCAGGTGGTGTCCAAAGTTGGTGGGGAGACATTCCAGAGCGGGATGGGGTCAGACCCCTTTTGGAATGTGCTTCACAGCACCCAATCTTTCCATGAGGACATCGCCCAGGCCTGCCTGCTCTTCTGCCGCTGGCCCGGGACGGTGGCAGATTGGGCCTTGCGGGGTTGGGGAGGAGGTGGGTGTGGAAGACAGTCGGGTGCAGCTCTCTTCTACGGCAAGGAGCTACACGTTAGATGGTCCTCCTTGGTTGGGGGGGCAAGAGCGAGTTCATTATCTGCTAAGAAACGCTGTGCAGCAGCACCCAGTTTGTCATGTTTCACAGGACCTGGGACCTACTGAAGGCCAGAACAGGACAGGTCCAAGGAGGGCAAACAGTTTTCTCTCCTTTTCTTCCTCATCGTGTAGAAATGAAAGGAATGTGCAGGGGCTTTGGAGCCAAACATAAATGGATTTTAAATCCTGACATTCTCCCTTACTTGGCTGTGTGGAGCTAGAATAAGTGACTCAGCCTCCCTGAATCTCTTACTGGAAGTGTTAAAGGAGATACTACATGTGAATTACTCAGCACATGCATGTCTGGTAATAATTGTGAAAAAGGACAATGATTAGCACTATTATGGTAGTGTGATAGCCTGCAGATAACTTTAAATGTGTTTAATATAAGTTGTTTTGGTTAACCCACATGGTATACAGATTGCCCAAATTATATATATAACAGGAACCAGCTAGAAAGACCCATCCCAGTGACAACTCCGTGAAAACAGATGTAGACTCTGAGTCTAGACACAGTCACAACCTGTCAGAGCCCATATTTCTAGGTGACGGGTCTGAGGCCTGCTCCTGCTACTCAGAAACCAACCACGTGACTAAGGAACAACAACAAAGAAATGATCCTCTTAGATGTAAATGTTCTTAAATTGTAGACTGAAAATAACTTAAAGCACGGGTTCTACATTTCTTCAGACTCTTATTCTTCAGTGGCACCTGATGTCCCATCATTATGACTCCATTTGACACAGGAAAGGCTTTAAGGGAAGGGAACAAAGTGCATCAAATGTACTGAAACTAAGGGCTCTTCCCCCTAAATCTACCCAGGGTGCACTTCTCAGTCCAATCTCCACATACCCATCAAAAAAGAAGAAATGGAATTAAAATTCCATGGGAGAGGGAGTCGCCTGTCTCAAATCCCTTATTTCAGGAGCTCAGAAGGGGTTTTACTTCGGAGGGGTTTGGAATTCCTCAAGTTGGGCCACGAAAGTAATATAATTTAGAAAGTATATCATTGGCTAGGGAAAGACATAATTTAATATATTTTTTTCTAAACATTCATTATAAAGCATACAAAAATGTGCTTTGAGTCTGATGTTTGTGGGCATGTGTGTTTCAAATCAAGGCTAAAGGTCCTTACCAAAGTGTCAGCCAGGTCTTTCCGGTAGACAAATATCCGACCAGATGCCTCAAGGGATTTGGAGATGGCCAAGTCATTTGGCTGAAGTTCATGTTTTCCTTCATTAAAAAAAAAAAAAAAAAGCAGAGCTCACTAATAACACAAGAGTAGCAGTAGGCCTAGACATACAACTAAAGAGTAAAACTTGCCAAAGAAAAATATTTAAAAATAAATACGACGTAAGGTGGATTAGTTCAGTTCTGCACACTCTGTACAATGACACCAGTGGTATCACGAACATCACTGCTCAGCATCCATAAAGAGGAGCTCTCTTGTAGTTAGTTCTTCCTTATGATATTTAATCATTCTTTAGAACACCGAACAGTTTAAGGAAAAAAGCAAAATGTATTCATCTCTCTAAAACAACCATATGATGTTAGCATTGGTTACATTTGGGTATATTTTTGTTACGATTGTTATATAAGTCTGTGCATGCACACACAAATAACTGCACTTATTTGCATACATATGCATTCATAATTTTTATAGATACTTATATACATATATACTTGCATTTATTCTATACATGGTTTTATATTCTGTTTTTATTATAAGCACTTATCCACTTACCAAAATAATTTATATATGTCATGTTTAATTGGTTATATAATAGTCCATTATACCATCATTTAATCTTTCCTCTATTGTTGAACATTTAATGGTTTCCAATTTTTTGGTCATACAAATTAGATAGCATGATATATGCTAAGTATCAGCACAGGGCCTGGCACATAACATGGGCTTGATAAATGGGATCTATTATTGTGGCAGCCATAATATCACAGAAGTCAACATCCCTGTGTGTAAATCTTTGTCTGCTTATAGATGATTTTCTTAAGACAGATTCCTAGTACTGGAATTACTGGGTCAAAGAGAATGAATATTTTTAGTTTTTGATATAAACTTCCAAATGGCTTTCTAATTCTTATTTTTTTAGAAAATAAATCAATATATTTTCCAAAAAAATAGATATAAAACTTGTATACTGACCAACGCTGATTGTTACTTTTGGTAAATTTGTTATTTTCCTAAAACCAAAAGAAAGATCCTTAGTTTAATTTGTATTTCTTGACTACTAGTGAGGCTGAATATTTTTCATATATTCCTCTTCTATTTTATTTCCCTTATTGCAAATTGTTCCTATCCTTTGACCATTTTTCTACCACAGTTAGACCCATCTTGTAACACAATAGCTTTTGTCATAGAAAGACTACCCTCTCCTCCTCACTACAAAATGCATATGGGAGTAGATTAAATAATACCATGATTTATTTCATCATGACATAATCAAATTCTCCTAAGGTAGCCGCTTAGTTATCCAGAATGATTGGGAAATGCAATATTCCACTTATCTTTTTCTAGATAACTTAATCTATTCAAATTAAAGTTTTGTTTTGAACATTTCTGTTTAACACCGAGCACACAAACAATAATCTAATCTCTTGTTTAAGGCCCAGCATTATAAAGATCAATAGTACTGTGATGTTGGGTGGTGACATGTACAGCTGATGGTCCCATGCAGCTGGGTTCTGAAGTTCCATCCCCTGGGCTCCATCTCCTCCTTTGTTTAGTTACAATTTCTTTCAGCCCTCTGTGTCCCTACTGTATACCTTAAATCTGAATTTATGAGAGTCATCCATACTTTACAGAATAAAATGCCATGACTTTCCGACAGCAATTTTTCTATTTTCTGAGCAACATTTTTTTTTTTCTGATTTTCAGGTTTATCACTATTTTATAAAAGATTAAAACTGATAGAATTTTAACCTCTGAGTAACTGGGTAGGTTATCGTAGGTTATACTACATATATATCTCTATATATATATATGTGTGTGTATATATATATATACATATATATACTATCGTAGGTTATGCTACATACATATACCTACCCTGGGTACAAAATAGCTAGAAACCTACTAGAGCTATGAAAATGAGAGTTAGAAATATCCACTCCAACATCTTAAAACTTTTTATTCTTTGACAAAAAGAAAAAATAGAGCTGTCATTTCATTCTGAAGTAGCACTAAAACATAATTTGTTAGAAATTATGTGACTAGAGCAAGGAATACATTAAGCTCCTTTTTTTTTTTTTCTTCATTGAAACATTATTGTTTCGGGGATAATAAGATACAGGCAGAAAGGTTCTTTGCAGACAAAAAAAAACTAATGGATGGAAAATGATGGCACATTTCCAAATCTGTAGGATAATTTAAGAGATAAGCTGATATTTCTGGTGATGATTAGCAATGGGTCTATACACATTAGAACGCCATTGCCCACCCTGATGAATCTAATTTAATAGAGTGTGAAAATGGTATTTCACAGCCATCCAAGAGATATTGGGTACTGAAGAGCCACTCATTAGAGCCAGATTCTCATGAGGCCCAGGGCTGACTCTGTCAGCTCCCGAGGTTGCGGGGGACAGGTCCCCGTTGTGCTGCAAAGTTCACTCAGGGCCCTTCCTTCTCCGGAACCTTCTGTCTCTATAGAGACTCCCATGATTACTTTCTGTGGTGGTACTATCCCGGGAGGCAAATGTTGGTTTTGATGAAGTTGAATACTGCTTAAAATCATTTAATATTTTTGGTCACTTGGAAATCAAATCTAATATACATGTGTCAAACCTATCTGAAATATCTGAACTGTATTATGAAAAATTCAACCGCTCCCTAATTAAAATTCATTTAGCCCACATGTTCCTTCAATTCTTGCTTTTAAAAAAAATTTTTTTTTTTTTTTTATTCTAGATAATGTTTCACCAGGATGTCCAAGTAGAGCCCTGGGAAAGGGAGGAGAGACTCTCATTTATTAGGCCTAGGGAGAAGGGCTCTGTCTGCATATGTAATCACTTGGCTTGTAGGACCGTTTTACCTGCCTGTGAGCAACAGAGCAAGAGGAGCAATATTTTGTCACATTATACTTTAAGGCCAAGGATATTCTGACATTCACCTCCCAACCCTGGGATGATAACAAAGCGTAAACAGGAATGCTGTTTATCTGCTCCCCTCCCCTGCCCCTCTCAGCTCTGGCTGACCAGTTCACACAGCACTCACATTTTTCACCTACTGATGCTAAGTCGCTTGCTTTGTGTTTTTCTCAGGGCTAATGAGACATTAAATAAAGACTGCGAGCCCAAAAGGAGGCCAGTGACACCAAGGCCTGACAGGCTCCAGTGAAAACGAAGGGGTCTGTTCAGGCCACAGAGATCAATAGCGTCAGCTTGTAATCTGTGTGATCTTATTCAAAACAGACAATGAACCATTCTCTGAGGATAAATAAGGCCCCACGGAGGCAGAAGCTGTAACCAGGCCTCGCTCCCCACGTCCACCTGAGGAAGCAAGCTTTCAGCTTATTGTACGGGTTTTCTTTCTTTTAATAGGGAGTCTTTAACTATTAAATTGTCAGCCTGCAATATGACTAGTTCAAGGCCATCTTTCTTTTTTTTTTTCCCCTAAAGTAATTTCATTCTATAGCAATTTCCCAAGTTAATTTAAATATGAAAATAGAAGGCTTATCTAGAGCACAAAATATGAAAAGCTTTATAATGTATTTCAAAACACTGGCATGCCTCCCTATTCAGTTCTAGGGGAGAAAATTCAGCATCCAATAGTACCCAACTGTTGCCATGGAAACACTTCTGGTAGGCAGCTTCTCATTGTTACTGTGGTCACCCAGCTGCGGGCCCAGAAGGGACACGCTGCACGTTTACTCTACAAAAATGTCAACTTTCTCCTTTTGGAAGAGGTCCAGTGAAATATTAATATTTAAGGACAGAAAATAATTTACCTCCAGAGAATGTGATGGCCACCAGAACCAGATCCTCTTCTGCATGCTGGATCTTTTCTGCTACGACTTTCAGGATCTCCTGGGCTGTACTGGAAACTTTTGCCTTCACACTGACATAGGAGTGCTCCGTTATATACACGTGGCAAAACACTGCACAGGTCAAAAGAATTGTTCGTGAACAGAGAACTCTGGTCATGAGGTACAGACTTTTCCAAATCAAGGCACCCACCTTGCTATTGTCTTGGGTATAAAGTACATAACAGCTAGATTTACATACAGGTGTATGTATATGTAAGTGCCTGAGGGTATATGCCTATAAACATGGGCTTGTAAACACATGAGACGTAGACATGATAAAGCTGTTGAACGAGCATGAGTAGTATTTAGGCTTCCCATACTGTTTAACTAGAGACCAGAGTCATGGAAGTCTATACTGAGGATAGAGACTATCTGACCACGATATAGTAGAATCTGTGGTACACACTGTATTTTTTTTTTTCTTTCTTTTTTTAAGATAGAGTCTGGCTCTGTTGCCTGGGCTAGAGTGCAGTGGTGTCACCATAGCTCACTGCAATCTCAACTCCCAGGTTTAAGCGATCCTCCTGCCTCAGCCTCATGAGTAGCTGGAACTACAGATGTATACCACCACACCTAGCTAATTTTTCTATTTTTTATAGAGATAGGGTCTCACTGTGTTGGTCAGGCTGGTCTCAAACTCCTGACCTCAAACGATCCTTCCACCTCGGCCTCCCAAAGTGCTAGGATTACAGGCATGAGTTACTGCACCCAGCCCACATTGTACTTTTGAATCCCTTCTTTGAGAGTTGCTGAGATCTCCCAAAGCAGTGCATTAAAGTGTCTAACTCATAAATTTTCATTTTATACAGCATTTCTGGACAGTCTCAGTGGCCCAATCAAGAATATCATATTTTGCTATTAGAATTCTCATAAACTTATCTAAAAATCTGTCATCTGTCTTATTTTTTGTTTTCAGCTTTCCCCATGATTTAAAAATGATCCCCCCCCCCATCTAGGTGGTGATGAATTTAGTTTCCAAATGGAGGTCCTATTCCTAAGCCTTTTTAATTTCCTTTTTATTGTCTATGGTACTAATAATTATTACTAGGACATTATCACTATCAGAGAGAATGGATCCTGAAAAGATTTCTCTTTAAGATTTGAATAGCAAAAAATGTATTAATAGCAATAGAGATAATTGACATATTGCCTCTTATATTAATATCAGCTCTTCTGAATGTACAAAACACTAGCTTCTTTAGAATAGACAGAAGGACAGTCATATACTTAGATATTCTGCTATTCTGTATTGCAAAAAAAAAAAAAAAAATTAAAAGGGTAGCTCCTAGAGAAATTTTGTATGCAATTTAAACAGCACCACAAAAATAAACCCAGGAACATTTTCATAGAAATGCAAATGAAGCAAAAGCCTAAATATGAGTTTATATGTATAGAAACTCAAAGTGAACACATCACCAGAAAGCACTTCACGTATTTGGTTTGGTTGGGTGTGTTATTAAAACAATAACATTTAACAAATAATTGTTTAATATTTTGTCAACAGGCTTGTCAAAGAGAAAAAAGCTCTCCTCCTTCCATAGAAAAATGGAATTTTTGACCAAGGTAAAATCCAGTCTAAAAACCCCTAAATGTCAGGTAAGTTTACAGCTTGCTTAATAAACTGATAAAAAAAAAAAAAAAAAAGCAACAGCAGCAGCAGCAGCTAGTGTCCTTAAAATACTTAGCTTCTTTGAAGCCCAGCTTGGAAAATTATACAATTAAACTGTAAGACAAATGGGCAGGGAAGGTCAGCAACTAATGAGTTAGGAGGTGAGACCATTTCGTTTGCTCTTTTACTTGGTGCAGGTGACACTTCACAGGATCCAACAGAACCCACCTATCAGCGGTGTCATACACAAACACCGTGCGACAGAACAAGCATCCTGGGACCTTTTTAAAAAATGCCCCAGAAATTGGGTAAATCTTCAGTGTTCACACTTAGAATTCCAGCACGTGGAGAAAGAGGAGTCAAGAGGGCAAGTCTCTTAAGTCACAATAGCGTGAACATTTTAATTTGTTGTTTCCCGGCTCTGCCCGTAACTCCACCTTTAACCACGCAAGAGGAAACCACTGCTACCGTTTCTTGTTCTGCTGTAAAATATTAACGTAGGAAAGCACGTCAGCATCTTCAGGGTGCAAAAAAGGTGTTTCCCCTTGTATTGAATGAACAGCCCTCTGCAGGCGAGGCCACCAGCCCCTGTGGCACTGAGTAGCACTGACAGGACACGACGGATGTGTGGCACTGGCCACACAGCCTCGCCTAGGAGGAGTTTCTGCCTCGTATCCTTCCTTTCATTATTCTCTCCAAGATTTTCTTTTCTAAATCTCAGGGACCGATTCAGCCAATATCCTGTGCACTGGCTGTGGTGGTCTTTCCAGTTAGTCTCGGGCAATGGCCCGACGGAAGCAGGGAGGTGGCGGTTCTGGGAGGAAAATGTCTCCCAGTCCACTTTCCACCTCTGCTCAAGAAAGCGAGGGGGCTCTTTGTGAAGCCTCCTCTCCTTGCTCCCCAAATTAAAAATATCCCTGGTGCTTAGGACAGTATGATATGATCAAGCACTCAAAATAAGAAAAGAAAAACTATCCTGTTTGATGTTAACATGCTTGTCCAAGGGATACTACTGCTGCAAATGATGGGCAAAGGCAGGCTCATGTAGGAGTAAGATGGTGCTTAACCACAACTCCACCCACCCCAAACCCTCGCTGCAAATCACACTCACTTTCCTCTGTTTCAGTCACAGCTCCTCTGTGCTGGAGCCAGTTCTCCTTAAGACTGAATTGGTGGAAAAGGGCTTTATTCTGTGAGAAAGGAGACAGAGAACAATGAATGAATGCATTCCTGCCCTTTGGAAAACCATAGCTGTTTACAACATGTTCCAAAAGAGCTCGCCAATTTTTTTTTTTTAAATATGAAATTCATCCATCCAATCTTACAGCAATAAACCGGGAGTTGCTTCAATTAATGCTAGCGGAGGTGGAGATTCTGAGCGGTATGACAGGCCTTGGCCAAGACCCGTGGCAGGCAAACAGCCCCTATAATTTGCCTGTGACGTGCTAGAGAATTCCCCCACAATTTTTCACCTCTGGCTACTACAAAGATCCATGGAGTCTTCTCCTAAGAAAATCATAATTTCCCCATCCCAATAGTAACCTCCAAGTTACAGTCATCGCAATCTGATCTTTTGCTTTTTACAGTTTTCACAGAAGCAACTTTGAGATTGTTTCAATACTTCTGCTGTAGCATAATATAATGACTTTCTTAAGGGAAACAGGTACCTGGTTCGTTGTGATCAGCCATTGGATACATCTGTTTCTGCAAAACTTGTGCCTGACATTCTGCATTTCCCCCTCAACACGTTGAACAGGGAATGCTATGACTACTTGCTATGACTCACACTTGCTATGACTACTTTTCTATTGTGCTGAGAAAGTGCAAATACTTTCTTTCTAAGACTTTAGTGTTGGAGTTGAAATTCCGGACTGGATTTTTTTTGACATAAATATTTTAAAAATTCTAATTTGTATCACTCTGGGAACAGTAGGAAGCCCAGAGACTCCAAAATGTACCATAAAATATGCAGAATGTCCTAAAGTCAAGGGCACATGGCTAAAATCAGATCTGCACCAGCACAGGGAGGCTAATGCAAAGCAGGAGAGCCCAGGAGGCTGCAGCCCCAGGCGTCCTGCCCTGCCCTGCCCTGCTGTGCTGGAGGCCATATTCCTTTTAATTATGAAGAAATGCCGAGTGAGGCAAGGCCAGGTCTGCAGAACAGATCACCCCATTTCAGAGACAGAAGAGTTTGCCTTACCTTCCTTTGTGGTGAATATTCATCTACAGTGCTGAAAGAAAAAGGACAAGGAGTCAGTCTTTGTCCTAAAACCCAGAATAATGCAGTTATTATTATGGAAGACCAATTTCCAGGCACTGGGCAGAGGATTTTTCTCTTTTAAAAAAGATAAAATACAGGATTCATTAATTTACCATGTACAACACACTTGACATTGGGCTCTGAATTTCAAATGAGCCGGGAAGTAGAGAAGCTATCTATTCAACAGGTGGATTTTGTTTTCTACTTACAGAAAGTGAAGCTGAGAATTGGGGGAGGAATTGGATCTACTCAATTCATGGGAACTCAGTCCACAGAAATGATTATTTTTTTAGATTGCAATATTCAGTCCACAGAAATAAGTTTTCTCATATAGTGATAGATATTTAGGTAAAATTGTTCTTTAGATAGCTAACTGGTTCAGCCAAGGTGCATCTTTTCCAGAATGTTCCTCTGTGTGGTGGGGCTGGGGAACATTCTGCTCTCTCTGATTGTGCTCCACAGAGTCCCAGAGCCAAGTGACTTCTAAAGGCCACCTCCTCTTATGGAGAACCAGTACTAGGACCAATCTCATACATCATTAGGTAAACCATTAAGTTAAAGGTATCAATCTTGTTCTCGGAAAGGAATACTTTCTCCTCTATTTGTGCAAAGTGCATTATAAATGAATGTCATGAGTTTTGGTGGGTCTTTTATCACATTCTATATTATATTAACTTTCCATAGCCTAAGACTAATATGAAAATATGAACTAATAAATGAAACAAAAGACAAGCTTTTCATTAAAACAATCTCCCACATGGAAGTTGCTCTATGCTATAAAGCAGATCTATTAAAGTTGGGAAACTTTAAAATGTGGGGCTCAAATCTTATTCTAGAATCTAAAGATATTTCGTAATCTTATACCACCAAAGAGGCAAGAATAATTTCTTAATATCATTTTCTTATTTTAATCTATTATTTACCATTCTTACGTAAGTTTTAAAAACAGACTTTATTAAATTCCATTAATGTACTTAATGTATTTAAATGTATTAAACTATGAATTAAAGTTTCCCAACTATAACAGGTCTGCTTTTTCATGATTAAGGATGAAAGCTTACACATGGTTTGCTCCCTAAGATTCATTTATACAGATGTTTCATTTGCAATTGGGTCTCCCTTTACTAACGTTAAGTCAGACTTTAAATCTCAAAATCAGTAATCTAAAAGGCCTGATTTAACATTTTTCTGTGAGAAGTGCATTTGTGACTGCTGAAATCTTAAGCTTTTCACAACTTGACAATATATATGTTTCATGTTTACTAAGTGTAAACTACACTGTAAATCAGAGAATGATTCTTCCCTTCAAGATGAACTCTGCAGCTGAAAACTGAATAATGATCTGATATTTTCATTTACCAAAATTAATAAGGAGAGTTAGTGGTAGTATCACAGTAAAGTCAGATATTGCCAATCTGAAAGATTAATGACAGATACCTAGGGAATGCTTGGACATGCCAAGAGTCATTGAGTAAATGGTTTTCTTTAATCTTTCTAAATTGATAAAGAAACCTCAGGGAACCTATAAAATTGAGCTTTTAAATTACTCCATGACCCGCTGGGACCTATTTATAAAACTTTTATTCCTATTCTATTGAACCCCCAAATGACAAGTTAAATATGCAGACTTTTAAAATTAAATAACAGTTTATTAAATAATTGTTTTTATGCAGCATATTATGGTCCAGCTTCCTTTTATGCTATCAAAGAGGGTTAAAAAAATAGTCAATGAGTTTGATTTAGTGTTCTTTTATTCTGAGATACAAGATCAAAATACACAATTTACTACTAGACAAGCTAAAGAATCAGGAAGAATCTGAGTCAAACTGCTTGAAATCAACTTTACTGCATAAGGTATCCCAAACCCCATCACATTTGCTGCTGCTTTCTTTCATTAACTATAATTAGGAAAAATGAAATACTTACTGACGACGGTGCATTCCAAGTATCTTTTGAAATTCTTTCAATTCTTTTTCAAGTATTGGATATTCATAGACATCATCCAGTACATTCCTGTATATGGTCTGGGGGGAAAGACAAATGACAGCTGAAATGGCTTAATGCTCATTTTGTCAGGATTAAGACTCATATAAGAACTATCCTATCTAAGGAAATAAGGAGGAACCCGGGACAATGCAAGGGTTTAACCAGGTATCAGTGAGATGAGAGTGAGATTCTCTCTCTCGGTCCCTCAACTCAACTGCCGTGGCTCCCTAGCTGCTTTTAGGAGCTATAGGTAGGAATTCTGGAAACTCAGAGCACCCTAGCTAGCTACTCCAGATGTGCATGCCTATTCTATATTTTAAAAAATAATATCCACTTAATTATTTGGGAGGAAAAAAAATCAATTGAATTAACCAGTTATTTTGAAAATAACATGAATTTAGTCAAAGAGTTGGTTAAACCAGTTTTTAACCAGGTGTCTAAATGACATCTGAATGTTGAATTCAAAGTGGGTTCCTTCATGAAAGGCAGAATCAATGTAGGCACTTGCCCAATCTGAACTAGAATTCTTCCTTGCTAGAATTCCATTCTACACCTTTTCTGTTTTAACCTGAACACCCAATATGGTTTTGGTGGCCAAAGGAATCCAACTGTCTACTAATCATCCCCAAAGAATCATCTGTGTTGAAAAGATATTGAAGCCTATTAATGATCAGAAAAATAAATCACTTTATCTAATTCCAAATATAAATCTAGGTTAGTATCTATTTTACAAATTATTATTGTTTAAAATTTTCAAATTATACTATGTCCTACAAATGCTTTACTCAAATAGTGTATACATGGGACTAGCTAGTTTAAACTTATAATAAAACACTAGCCAGGCATGATGGTATGCACCTATAGTTCCAGCTACTGAGGAGGCTGAGGCAGGAGGATCGCTTGAGTCCAGGAGTTCAGGACAAAAGTGAGCTATGATTGTGTCACTGCACTCCAGCTTAGGTGGCAAAGTGAGACCTTGTCTCAATAAAACAAAACAAAACAAATTCCCTTATAATAAATCTCAACATATCAAGTGATATCAAATTTTGAAGTATATTTTGGTTTACATTCCTTATTTCATTTGCAATCAAAATTCCCATGACTTCTATGTAGGGAATATCAAGTCTCAGAAGTTAAAATAAATTTATATATTCTGTGAATCACAACTTGACTATCACAAAAAAGTTGAATGACTATTACCTACAAATGAGATTTTTGAAATGCATAACCAAAAACCAAAATCAGTCTCTGGCATCAAAGACTATCTGGAAGTGTTAGATTACCTTTAAAAACATTTTCGAATGTTCATCTTCATGTAACCAGTCTTTGTATAGAGCAATCCACTGGGAAACAAGATGTAACACTTTACGTTTCCGACGAGGAACATCTGAGTTTTCCTCTTTGCCTTGATACTTCTTAGCAGAATAGGTACAAACGGTTAAGGAAGAACATTACATTGTTGAAAATAAAACATATAAAGAGATCCATTTGCTCTTGTTTTTATACAATGTGGGAAAGCATACAAGTATATAAACATGCAGGAAGAAGAGAATATGTATAGAGAGACCAAAAGATGTGCACTGAAAAAAGCAAACCTAAACCAAGGGAAATGGGATTTTCCTTAAAAAAAAGCATTGGATAAATATGCAAGCATACAAGTATATAAACATGCAGGAAGAAGAGTATATGTATAGAGAGACCAAAAGGTGTGCATTGACAAAAGCAAACCTAAACCAAGGGAAATGGGATTTTCCTTGAAAAAAAGCATTGGATAAATATGCAAACACAAAGGTAAAAGAGATTGCTAATTTCCATTTGATTAAAATAAAATTTAAAAAATAAAATAGGAAAAGACTTAAAAGCATCAACAATTGAGGACAGTTAACTAAATTATTATACGTCCATTTAATGGACTATTCTGCAGCCATGACAATGACAGTTCAGCAGGACATTTACTGATATGGAACATTTAAAATATGTTGTCGAGCATAAAAGCAAGAAAAGAATATGTTAGGATGACCCATTTCTGTTAACAATGCTTATTTATATGAATAATCTCATTATCTGGAAGAATATATACTGAATAGTTAATCGTGGTTTCTCAAGGTAATGAGATTTCAGAGTACATGAATTATTTTTATTTTACTTATTAGGATTTCCTAATTTGTATACAATGATCATGTATTAACCATGCTGTTAAAATTATCACCTCAAAGGCAAAGTGTTTAAATGACTAGGAATGAGACAGCGGCTTAGCATGTTCTAAACTGATCTGTTCTCTTTGTCTCCAAAATGATAATTTCTGAGTGTCTTGGACACATTGCAAAGATGACTAGGAGTACAAAATTCTATAATACCAAACACAGGTAGGTTTGAAGGTTGTTGGACAGGATTATATTAATATATTCTTTAATGCTGATATATTTGCAAAATAGGAATAAATTATGAATCAGCCTTTGTAAATATTTAAAAACTATAACTCAGCCATTGTCTCCCTGTCCTGCAAAAGTACATTAAGGCCATCTTTGAATTCCACCTGTGAAATAAACTCAGGCAAACACACACAAAAAATCTTATAAAGTTTCTATTTCTCCTAGTTTTTCTCTTGAAAGGCACAATATAAATATTAATCCTAGTTATGCAAATATTCTTTTCTTCTTTTCCTGTGAATATAATGACTCTATTAATATAAAGGAAAAAAATCTAGAAAATTAAGAAATATTAACAGCTTCCTTTTTTTAAGGTCAGTATAGATAAGTAAAGATCTGAGCTTTTGATTCAAGATGCATACATATGGTTCTACAATTATGGGCCAGCAGAATAAAGCAATTTCAGGAACTGACACTTGAACCACTCCTCTACATTCATAGTTACTAACATTTATTTGCTTAACCTTGTTCTCCTCCCTGCAAGATATATAATTTTAAAATATTTTCTGGTTAAATCTACATTTGTATTAATCCAGTTTTCAATTAGGGTATATACACTATTTTACATTTTGTTTGTGCTAGATTTTACTGATTTATAAATTTAGCTTATGGTGGGTATAGTGGGATGCCATGGGGTGACAGTTATAACTTCTGTGTAATGGACTGAATATTAGCTGGACCAGGACCATGAGCTTAAATAATGTGCTTTATGGTGATAAAAGATGAAAGCTATTAGATACTGTTCTAATAAAAATGCTTATCTAAAATATCCAAATCCAGCACAAATGGCTCTAATCTACAAATAATACTCAAAAACCATGGGAAAAAAAACAAACAAAAAATAATTTGGACCATTCCCCAGAAGTTGGTAGTAGTAGGATATGAAAGACATCTTCACTAAGGATGCACAAAAATATTTCACGTTAAATATGGATGCCATATTTTTGTTTGTGGTTTGTATTATTTTATAAAAGGCAGATATACAAACATACAGAAACAATCATATAGAAAGACTCTGGGCTTAAAATGTTTTTGATTTCATGGGTTTTTTTTTTTTTTTTTGAGACAGAGTCTCACTTTGTTGCCCAGGCTAGAGTGAGTGCCGTGGCGTCAGCCTGGCTCACAGCAACCTCAATCTCCGGGGCTCAGCGATCCTACTGCCTCAGCCTCCCGAGTAGCTGGGACTACAGGCATGTGCCACCATGCCCGGCTAATTTTTTGTATATATATTTTTAGCTGGTCAATTAATTTATTTCTATTTTTGGTAGAGACAGGGTCTCGCTCAGGCTGGTTTTGAACTCCTGACCTTGAGCAATCCGCCCGCCTCGGCCTCCCAGAGTGCTAGGATTACAGGCGTGAGCCACCGCGCCCGGCCTTATGGGTTTTGATAATTGGCAAAAAGGCTGCTAAGAAATTGAACTGAATTTTCACATAAAATGTCTTAAAGACTCGAAATATATTTATATTCAAGTAAAGTTTTAGAGATTCTTTAGGGACACTCTATAAGGCACTAAAATAGTAGATGGTAATCACAAATATTTAATATTAGGATCATAGTTAAAGACAGCAGTTTGAAGGCATCTACTTTGCTATAAAGACAGAATTTATATTACTTAATGGATGGTAATTGTTTTAGAAATACATTAGCATTAAAATGTACATGAAAATAGCTCACAGGTATTTTTCCAAAACACTTTCAAAGAAGGAGAAATTCAAAATCTTATAATTATTGCCCAGTTTCTTAGCAACATTCCACTTGGAAGCTGTGGAAGAAATCTGCACATATTATTGAATTTTCCAAATTCAAAACTATTAATAATATTTCAGTATCAGTTTTATGAACTGGTTCTAAAAAAAAAGTATCAAAACACCCACTATATCTTTGCTTCGCTACGGGATATAGTGAAGCACTAAAAAGTAATCACCACTTCCAGTTTACATATTTTTTAAGAGAAAATTTACTTTATGTCCTTTATTGAGGTTTAAAGTATTCTTTTTGGTGGGAAAAATGCTGTATAGGTGGCAGATATGTAATAACTATTTAACAGGAAAAGAATACTGAATGACCATGATTATTAGGTCTCAATAAAACTTTGGTATATACGAAAAGCAACCCACTTTTCTAAAAATTCTCATGTGGGCTAAAGTGGAATCTTCGGTTTGGTTTAATAAAAACAGGATGGCTAATAACAGGCTTCTTAAATGCTTCTGAAGCATCTTCTGAAACCATTGTGGGGTAAGAAGCCCATTTGAAGACTTTAAGCTTACATGGTTTTGCTTTTTGGCCTCTCAACGTTTCCATGTTTCACCTCTTCTGGTTAGTGGGTAAAATATAAGGGTCTTAACTGGTCATTAACCTTTTAACCACATCCATCATTGTAAGAGAGCATGCACTGACAAAGCTCCGAAGAGATGACCGTTGATTCCGAGGGGCTCGTTTAGACCTCCCAAGTAGGGGAATGGCTTTTCTTCCCTGGGACACTTGCCAGGAACATATCACATTTGTACATTTTCCTGCACAAGTGGTCTGACACTAACTGACTGAGTCTCCTCTAAGTCTCCTCAGTATCTGTGTGATATTGCCAATCCACTCAACCTCTTGACCCCGGGCTTTACCCAGCAGGCCGAATTTACCTCCAGTCTTCTAAGCGATCGTGAAGCATAGATTTGAGCAAGTGTAATATAAACAGTGTAATTTACCCACATCACGGGATGTGAGAACAGCAGCTCTGCACTTCCAGTTCCCCCTGTCTGCTCTGTCTCGTTTCATCTTTTACCTTGGATATCATTACATTAATATTTAACATAGCCACGCTCCACCGTGGAGTTGAGTAAATTAAGAAAGGCAGTTAATTCCTAATGTGGCACATCTGTCTGAGGGGACGTCAACACAGCATCCTGAAGTTAATGAAGGATATTGCCTTAACAGCGCCTGACACAAGTCATCAGTTGTCATGAAGACAGTGTACGTGAGAAGGAAGTCATCAAGGAGGGTCTCTGCAAAGAAAGAAAACAAATAATACAAGGTAAGCAAAGAGGTGACAAGAAGGGCAGCTGCTGATCTAGGCCCCAGAGCAGTGTGGGTGGCAGAAATATACGATGATGGTAGTGGGAGGGGTTAGAAAAGAAGAATTTTAGCCACAAAATACATTCATTACAGTTAAGATTTTAAAAAAAACTCCTTACATAGAATGCCTCGAGCAATGAGATATTTTTGTTGCAAGGCTCTCTAAACATACAACTTTATCATTTTTTTTCCTGAAACCTCATTTATATTTGTGGGTAAATATATTATGGAAAACCAATGCATAAATAATGTGCTTTAAAAAATGAATTTTGTAAGATTTCTGAGGTATACACTCCTGTCCTACAGGGAATGAAGCCTTCATGTCTAATAAATTAAGGCTCTCCACAGCCATTTATTTAAGTCTGGGGCAAGAACAATGGATAATAAAACCCAGAAGATACATATCAGCTTCCAAGGCCATTCACCTTTATCTCTCAAATGCATCTATAAGAAGTTGAGAAAGTGATGAGTGATTTTTTGATGACTGTGTAGAGAGACAGAACTGCATCCAGTTAAAATTGGAAATTATCTACCTTGTTTGACTGTAGGTCATGAGCTCCCTGTTCCAGAGAGGGCCTTGCCCCACACCCAGAAGGGAGGAATGCTGCTCAGAGAGCCCAGGAAGAATCTAGACAGATAGGCCTTGCTGGGTTTCCCCAACTCAGCCTATTAGCATTAGATGAAAAAAAAATTGGAGAGCAGGTACAACATATCACAACATGCTTCTTTCTAATTTCTTCTTTTTACCAAACCAAACCGGTCCCACTTTTATCACCTCTTTTCCTTGAGGGTTCTTGAAGAGTCCAGTTTACACCTAATAGGGAACTGCTAAACAGGCAAACTCTGACATTCAATATCATTTCCAAAATGCCTAATTATATGCAGAATCCAAAGTAGTGATTTTTGCCATAATAGTCTTTATGTAGTCTCCTTAACTTAAAAATCATTTTACTATATGATGTTATTTTCCATATCTTTTACATTCTGGGGCTATCAAATTTTTATTCATATGAAACTATATGAAATAGTCATAAATTCTAAGAGTAATGAGGCTTATATACTGTTATGGACTGAACACTTATGTCCCCCAACCCCCACCACTGCATGTTAAAACCTAACCCCTTCATGTGATGATAGTAGGAAGTAGGGCATTTGAGAGGCAATTAGAATTAGATAAGCTCAAAAGCTTGCTTCCTCCCTCCATCATGTGAGGACAAAAAAAGACTGTGGTCTATGAACCAGGTAAGCAGGCCCTCCCCAGACGCTGAATGTGCTGGCACCGTGATCTTGGACTTCCCAGCCTCCAGAACTATGAGAAATAAATGTGTATTGTTTAAGCCACCCAGTTTATGGTATTTTGTTACAGTAGCCTGAGCTAAGACATATACTCAATAGTACTTATGCTCTCTAACATCTACACATTACAAAATTGCAAGTAAAAAGAATTGCCTGGTACAGAGCTCTTCTATGTTGAAGACTAGATGAAAGAAAAATTCCATAACTTTTAGGAATTACCAGTAATAGTTACTTTAAAAGTCGATCAATGAGAACAACAAGGTTATATTTATGAACACAAAACTCTAATATAAGAGGTTGCAGATGACATCTATAATTCTATATTAGCTGCAGGGGTTAACTTATTTCTATGTTTGCTTGGTTGCAGAACATCAAGACAATCCCGATCTACACAGATAAGTGGTAATTTTTTTTAATAGCTTGTTTCTTAATTGCCAGATGCCCTTAATTAAATGAACTGAAGATCTTAATGAAGAGTATTAAGAGTATTAATGAAATTTCTTTGAAAGATAGTTATTTATGGTAAATAATAGTATTCCTTATTAAAACAATAAATCTGACAAATGGCATGCACCTAAAACATTAAAAAAAAAAATAAAGCCTAAACTTATAATGTCGTATCACACTGCAGTACATTAGCAATCACTAGTCTAACTTACTATTACTCTATGGCAAAAGCAAGTTCCCAAACGGATGTGCCTGGGCCTTGCTGAGCTTAAATTAAGCCCAGTACAAGAACGCTGTGGTATTGTGCCTGATCAATTTCATGTGAGCGGACATGTGCAGCCTGCATACATAGAAGAGCCCTGAGCTCCCAGCAGAGTCCCTGTTTATGAAAGTTTCAAGTATATGCACAAGGCCCGGGAAGCTTTATTCTAAACATGTGTCTCCAAACTAGTTAACCTGGCAGCTCAAGTTAATCACTACTCATCCTAATGAAAAATTTATAATATATAGTATCTTTTATTATGGTTTTTAAAATAGTTTAAATTAAAATTCACCATCTGCATAATGTCTGAAACCCTAGGATATTTTGGAAATACAATTTGAAAACCATCCCTCTGGTGTGCTGTTGAACAGTAATGTTCATAAATTGTAACATTCCTTTGTGCTAAATGTGGTTGATGAAAATCCTCAAACTCTCTGGTCTGATTCGAAATTAAGGGGAATCTTCTCTGCATTCAATGTTGCGCACAGGCAGCAAGGACAACAGAGTAGCCTGGAATCTATTTTAGGGTTTTCAATGGGCTCTTATAGATAGGAGCCACCAATATGTAGAAACCACTGGATGACAGTATTGAGAACACCACATGTTCAGCATTTAAAGTGTTTGATGTGACATACAAGTTCAGACTCTATGAGATGTTCTTATACTTAGCTGCATTTAATGAGGTTGGAACTATTCTCTAATCAAGATCTACTCCATTAGTAGCTGAGATTAAAAAGAACACCATTAACTTTGACATAACCAGTCATTCCATCCCAGAACAACCTTAGATAATGAACTGAGTGACTATGAGAGTCTGGCTGGCTGGTGTCAAACCCATCTGGCATTCAATTCAATTAATCAGCTCACATATAACAATGTTTTGTTAAGGACTTTGACCCAGGAATGTTTATTTTCCCCTAAGCTACTGGCATGTTTAACATTCAACAGCATTTACCTAATTATCTCTCTGCCATAGAAATATTAATTAAAATAAAAACAAGGAGGCTATATAAAAATATCTCCAGTTAAAATCCTAATAGTTAAAAATCCTAACAACTAGAACAGATTCCCAATACTCCTAAATCAAATTTTTCTCCATTTAACTATCATATTCTTCTGAAAATTTTCTCTAAAGAGCATTTCTTTATTCTTTTTTCTGCATTGTTTTTCCTCTGAACAGACTCTGAAAGTAATTGAGTGATGTGAACAAAAAACCCATAATCAAAATGATGCACTCCAAATAAATGTGCATTTTATGATAGTCATGCTTCAAAAAAAAAATCTGTCCCATTGGTATTTAGAGATGTTTTTAGAACCACAATGGCTATATGAATGATCCCCTGAAGACTATTAGCCAACAGCCATTAAGAAAGACTGGCAAATCCACTAGCATCTAAATTAACACACAATAATTATCTATTATATTAAATGCTAATTAATAGTCATTTAAGACTATAGGCAGAAAAGCACTTTTGCATATACAAAGGTATCTTTCAGTTAAACAAATTCATAGTTGGGGTATAAACTAACATTTTGAACAAAAAAATGTATTCATTTTTATTTCTAACTCTTAATACCTAGGTATGAATATACAAAAAACTTTTCTGTGGAATTCTTTTCATCAATTAATAAATCTAATACCAAATTCTTGGCTTATCACTAAACTTTTGGGAATATCCTCCCCACTCCACCAAAATATAAGAATATTTTTGCAGCGGCTTTTTGAATATAGGAAATACTCTTGCAGTATGAAAGTAATCCTGATAACCCTCAAAACTGGAAGGCAAATACAATTAGAGTTTTAAGTACTATGTAACTTGAAATAAAATATATCAATATACTGTCAAAACTTGAAACCTTCATAGAAATGGTTATAAAATTCATGTCTATAATGATCCATACTAATGTCATACAGGATTTTTCCCTATCATCTGCTATTTTGATTTTCATGGTATAAGAAAATAATTGTCTATTTGATTTTACTTGAATGTGTTTCTCTTGTATCTATCAATTAAAATATTTTCCTCAGTCTCATTTTAAGTGTATCAAGCACTAAAAATTCCCATTTAATTTCTGCAAAACAAAAGTGTCTCTAGAGTATCCTAGAGTTGTGCCAAGGTAGAATAGGAAGAAGTTTGGTACAGGCCCTTTTTATAGGGTTGTATTAAGTAAATGTAATCAAATTTTTATAACTGATCAAAATGTTACCAAAAGGTCTAAGCTTAATGCTTTTTTGGCAAAAACAAAACCCCTGATGTCTAGAAATCGTGAAGCATAGGGTTACATAGGAACAATTATAGAAATCTACCTCAGTTATTTTTTTCAATACTCATAAGCAAAATGCACTGCAATAATGAAACCACTCATCTGTTAAAGTGAATTACCCAAGAAAGCAAGTGGAAAGATTTTTGGCAGGCAACTGCCTATGGTAGCCATTTAATCTAAGTATTGTAATGTGAATATTCAACATTTCTGTACTAACTCATATTCCCTGAAGTACTGTTAACAGTTTTGTTTCACCTATATTTCTACTTCAGATGCAATGGAATTTAAGGCACTCTAAAATGCGTTCTACCTAACCTTTATTTCAAGGAGCCAAGAAAACTTTTAACATGAAAGGGCCCATTTCTGGCCCAGGAATGTTACAACTTACCATTATTTTTTGAGAAGCAGTGCCAAAATGTACATTGTAATTTGATTAAGCACAAATAAAATTGTTTTTAATGCTCAGGTTGGAATCATGGATTAAAGTGCTATGCCATTAAAAGCTATGCTTCTTTCCCAGTGTATCTTACTTTCTGAAAGCAATATTAATGACCTAAAATGCGGCTGTTTACCACAGGTTTTAAATTCACTTAATTCCTGCCAATTTTTACAATTTCACCAGAACTTTGCTCAGCCATTCTAAAAACTCCCAAATCTTGA